GCTCACCTCCTCTTCTAAATGACTGATCACTTATCCCAGACTGTCCAACCTTTTGGGTATGTAAATTTGGGATATTTTTTAATGACTGAATGAATCCCGCGGGTGCCAAGTGCACAAGCCCCCAGGGGGTCTAGGGGATTGCTTGCCCAGAAAATTTTGAAAACTTGATGCCTAGAAATGCTATTTCTAGTGTTCTGAGAGGACAAACTTGTGTCTAAAATGTTTGCTGTAAATCGATTGTCATTTTAATGCTTATTTTCAATAGTAATTTTTTACTACAAGTATATTTTTTGGTTTTATTAATGTTTCCTGGATATTAGTTTTGGTTAGTATACTCTGTTAGGTGTTCTTATATTAGTATCCTGAAAACATCAGAAAAGATTGTCAAAATTGGGATTTTTCCTATCCCGTTTGTATATTGGTCCGGATTCGGGACTTTTAAGCAAAATCGGGAGAATCCCACCGAGATCGGGATGATTGGACTGTTTTATTATCCATAACCCATAACACTGATGTTGTTCCTAGCAAAAGCGCTTTGAACCTCTGGTACATTAAATGTATAATGAAAACAAGACTACTGTTAGGGGATAATGGTTTCACATAATTTGTACTGATTTTAAACTGTCAAGAACAACCAGTTTGTACATAACACATATTGATCACATTGCTGACACATATGTGTCAGCGATATGGAAAGGAGTCTTTTGCTGTCCCTTGACTGAAGAATGATTACACGAGGTATAACTATATTTAGAAATCTTACCTTTTTTGCATGCAAACCATGAGGTAAAAACAACATGCTGTAGTCACGTAGAAAGTGGCGCGTATGGCTTTGAGCATGTGCTAGCTTTCATCACCATTCACCCATGGGCAAATAGTAAATGAGTAATTGACCAATCAGAGTGCGCACTTTTTTTTTTGTAATGTTATATTTGGTGTAATCGAGTTGGGGACAGGTGCAATCACCAAATGACGCAACACAGAAGATTTAAAAGATACTGAACAGTAATTCCCACACCACAACACAAAAGCCAACTTAGTTGGTTCCCAAAACCAAGAAACACCCCCTGTGAGTGATCACTTTTTGTTCTAGGAAAAGCTTAGATTGTTGTTGGTGTTTTTTTGAAAATGTAAATTTATACCTAGTAAGTAAATTTTCTTTTCTTTTCTATAATTACTTTAAAATAAATTGACTTTTTAGACAAGTGATCCAGTTATAAACACAGAAAATGATGAGGCGCTCATTTTAAAACTAGACTCCAGTCTTCATGACAATGGAATTGGTGAGTGAAATTAAGTTTCATTTCATTTAATATTTTTCCCTATGAAAATAATTCAAATTTCAATTTCCTTACTCTCTGATCATATGAAAAGAGATATTTTAGCTGTCTTTCTTAGTCTCCACTGATAGTAAACCATAAATGCATAATTGTTGTGAAAATCTAGCTTTTCTCTTTTTTATGCCTATTTTACATATTTAAAATGTACTAGCTCTTCACCTGAATAATAGGCATTTATGATCAGTGTCAATCAGACATCAGCCAGAACAGCTGCACTATAATGGTGATGAAACCCTGCTCTGTCCTGCAGTAATGTGCCTTCCACTCTACCCCCTGACTCAATAATTCAACAACAACAAAAAAATAATTAATAAATTATTTTATACCATTGTACATAATTTTATCTTAAACTTCTCAACAGAACATGAAACAGAAATCTCTCTTTTCAAGAAAGAGGATTACAAGAAATACCAAGCTAACCCAATTTTAAAGTGGTAGTCAATACAAGGCTGTGCTCTTAGTAAAATTCTAGGAAGCCCAATGCTCTGAACCTGAGAATTCCAGGGTACCCAGCATTTAATTTTAATGCAAAAACGAAGATTTTGTAATTGCCAGGGAGCAAACGTAACGCACCAGTGGCCACCTGGCGCTGTTAGAGCACAACCTTGAAATATGAATTAATTTTTAACCAAACTTAGTGAATGAAATTTGTAACATTAACTTTGTACAGCTTCCAAAAATAATTTTATGATTTAAAACAAATTGATTCTCGTGACATAGTCAGTTTGGACGGTCACCTCAGATCACTTCTCTTTTCTGTTAATTTATGACTTGGTTAAGTCCACTTTGGACACAAAACTGAAAAGTATTATCTTGTTTTGAAGAAATTATGCAGTCCAGTATAGAATGTGCCTGCTTTCTTTACAAACATTTTAAAACAACATAAATATGTGAAAGAATGTTTGTAAAGAAAGCAGACGTATTCTATACTGGGTTGCATATGTTAAAAAAGGGTACTTCTAGGAGATGAAAATGCTGCCGAAATCTAATATTTTTTGCCGTTATGATTTATAGAATTATGAATACTTAAATTACCATTTATCATCAAAATAATGTATTATACACCTTAGTAGTTCTATGAGAGTGGTGTGACTCTTCAGTCTGTGACACAAGAAAAAAAGATTTTAAAAATGATGATATAATGGGAATTTACACCAGCTAAAGAATTATAATTATTCACAGTTAGAAGCACTGCGGGCTACTCTTACTTCCTTTTTTTAAATTTTTTTTAGTTTGTTAGTATCATTTATTATGATATTTACCTGCTGGTGGATTTACCTGGTTGCTTTTACACCTTTATAAACTGCCGTTAAAACCACAGGTTACCTGGGCAAACCACCTGGTGACTCAATATCAGGACTTGTGCAAGGTACTATAAATGATCTAATAGACGCCCGGGGCTTTTTTATTAATTTTCTGGGGCACACAACGAGAACATAGTTCAAAACCACTTAAACATAGCATTGTTAAGCGTATTTTAGTATTTAAACGGTAGATATAGGAATATTTTTATCCCCTAAAAATTTTTCATCTGTTCGGATTTCCTACCTGAAAGTCTAGTGATCCGAAAATTATAGGGATCAAAAATTACCTTTTCGAAAATTTCAGCCAGAAAAAAGGCTCCCGAAAAATTCTAGGTGACCTTTTTAGGGTAAAAATCCGTTAAAAATGGGCAATTATACCATTTTTTAGATGTTCAAAAATCCTAGGAGAGGCAGACAAGCTGAAGAAATTTTACAACAAATGTTTCGAAAATTCTAGATCTCAAATCATCTTCCGAACAGATATTTTCCGAAAATTGACGTTGGATGCCCGGCCTGAATTTTAGGAGCGCAAGCGGGAGCATTTAACAGATAGGAGGCTTTTAAAACTGACTCTAACAAACTGAAACTGATACTCTTTCAGCGACTATATCACCACGGTTTGTAAACAGTAGACAATCCAGTCCATCCAGTGATGTTTCTAGGCCAATTTAGAGATACATATTTGTTTTTTTGTAAATCTCAACTCCTCACTTAAACTTGGCGTGGAACAAGGTATAATGGGCAAACTCTTGTTAATCAAGCAAGAAAATAAATAATTTCAGTTATTTTGCTCTTTTTCTTTATTTCCTAAGGTAGTAATTTGGAGGCATTGTTTTGCGGGGCGTTTATTTGGTAGGGACGTACGGGTTAGGGTAATACAAACGTAAAACGTCTGTTAGATCATTTGAGGAGCTCGGGTCACCTGTGTTAGATTTCACGCCTGCCTCTTGTAGATAAAGCGCGTTGTTAGATTAATAGATGTTTTTTAACAGATGAATCAGTGTGCAAATAAACGGGATCATTAGAGCAAACCACGCCCTTGCGTATATTCTCTCTAGTCCAGAAGTCGGAGTTTCGCCTGGACTCTCTCGCAGCATAACTCGAACATTTTCAAATGAACCGTTATTTGGTTGTGGTTGAATTCCAAGCAGATGGCACATCAAAGGATATAAATCAACTATATTAGACGGCTGAACTTCGAAACCCTTCTTAAAAGCAGGACCTTGTGCGAAAAAGATCGGATAGCTTTGACTTTCCCGCGGTGGCCAACCATGTGTCCCGTAAACCCACGATGTGTTTGGGTTCCCGCGGGATTGTGTGACAGACCAACCCAACTCGGGATCAATGAGTGTGGGGGGTATTCTGCGATTGTGTTTCCAGTGGAATGATTCGGGGATGTCTTGTTTCTTGTAAATTTTCATGTGTGGGTTCTTTACCTTTGTGAGATTTTCAAATATTTCCTCCAGCTTCTCATCTTTTGGCCAGATATGTCCCAGAGCTGTTGATTCTGTCATCATGTACGCGGATCGGTCGAGATAATCATCAAAAAATATTTGACGGGCCGAAGAAATGTTATTAAAGCTGTTATCGCTGACAAAGATTAAATTGACGTTATCAATGAGGTTAACATCACGCAAGCGCTTAGTCAGATAACCAACGACCTCTCGATCAACCTTCTCAATGGCTTCCTTATACTGTTTGGAATGAGAGCCGTAATCATGACCCTCCCAGTCTGGATGATCAATATACACCCCTACAAACTTGGGTGGTTCCTTAGATTTGAACCAGTTAATTACCTTATCCAACCGGCTTTTGAATGGCTCAGTGTAATTAGGAAAACAGTGGATGTAACTCGGCCATGTGGGGCGTGTTTATTTAGGCAGATCCTTCGAATCAATTGCACTGCAATTCACAAGGCAAAAGGGTTTCTCATAATACGTGGGTTTTTCGGTGTAACCTTCGTCTCCGGGCCAGAAATATAACCCGCTCTTTCCTCCTTGTTTCTGTAGCGTCAGCCAGATCGGTTCGGCAGCCTTATAGAACTTGGGATCCTTCGACGAACAGTCGTAATCGTAAATGTACATCTCTTGGTAAAGTGGATCCCAGAACTTGTTGGACACAATACCGTGGCTTTCTGGGTAAAGACCTGTTAGGTAGGAGTGGTGAGTGGGCCAAGTTTTTGTTGGGACAACATTGAAAGTATGCTTAGCTCGAACTCCGTTCCTACCCACTGCATCTAAGTTTGGAGTACCGGCAAACTGTCCACTTATGAACTGCCATCCCATGCCATCTAGGGAGACCATGATCACGGTGTCTTTGTTCGCTCGTTTCTCTTCTTTGGAAGAGATGCCGTTAAAAATGGAAAAGAAAACGAAACAAATTACAGGGCAAATACTTGTTGTTGTCCCCATTTT